CTGCTAACCATACAGCTGGTGGTTCAAACCCACCAGCCACTCCTCGGAAGGAAGGTTGGGCAATCCTACTTCCATAGTGATACTGCCTCGGAAACCCAAGAAGGGGTCGCTATGAGTTGGGTTTGACTCGATGGCACATAACAACAACAACAACATTAAATATCACAGAAGCTAAAATACCGTGATGCTAAAAATATTAAGATTAATGGCAAATTCTGACCTAATACTGTCTCAATTTTACTTTTATTAATCCAGGTTAGTGGATTGTTTAAAAGATTTTGGGCCTACTGATTGGCAGCTGGCCTGCTTGATTTGCAAAACTTTATGGAACTTCAGTGAAAATATCACTAATGCTTCGTCATGTTTTGGAGATGAATACACCAACACACTCTTAGTCCTCTTATCATCATTTTTAGGTAAGACTTCTGAGTATGAGTCTGTGAGTTTGATCAGAGTGAGATTTAAAAAAAAAAAAAATCTGTGACCTGAGTGGATAAAAAAGAACCTGGTGGTGCAGTGGTCAAGCACTTAGCTGCTAACCAAAAGACCAACAGTTAGAACCTACAGCTGCTCCACGGGAGAAACATGAAGCAGTCTGTTTCCATAAAGATTTACAGCCTTGGACACCCTGTCAGGCAGTTCTATTCTGTTCTGTAGGGTTGCTGTAAGTTGCAATTGACTTGACGGTGATGAGTTTGGTTGATTTGGTATGGATAAAGATAGGTATGTCATAGTTCCTTCTATGGCTTTTTTTTTTCTTTTTCCTTTTTTTGTATTTCTGTAGACTGCAGAAATACAAGATTTCAACATAAATGTAAAGCTGTTGTTTAAAATCACAGACACTGTTGTGAATGAGAAAATATGCCTAAAAGCTTTTCTGAATTAAGTCATACTTTTAAATGAATTTATACATTTTAACTCAGAAACTTAACCACCACGTGTTTGTCATTTTGTCACACTTTGGTGGCTTGCGTGTTGCTGTGGGGCTGGAGGCTATGCCACTGGTATTTTGAATACCATCAGGGTCACCCGTGATGGACAGGTTTCAGCAGAGCTTCCAGACTAAGACAGACTGGGAAGAAGAATGGCCATTCACTTCTGAAAAAAATGGCCAGTGACCTTATAAATAGCAGTGAAACACTGTCTGATATATTACTGGAAAACTTTATGAATAGCCATGAAACACTGTCTGATATAGTTCTGGAAGATGAGCCCCTCAGGTTGGAAGGCACTCAAAATACCACTAGAGAAAAGCTGCCTCCTCAAGGTAAAGTTGACTTTAATGACATTGTGGTAGTTCAGTTTGTTTGTCAACTTGGCTGGTCCTGGTTGAGTAGCTGGGCAGCTGGATGTAGTATTCCCCATGAAGAGACTGGTAATCAAATCCATGATGGAATCTACTGTGAGCATCTGAGTAGCTGCCTTAGGGACTGTGGTCTGCTTCCTGTACATAAGGAGAAGCCTTGGGGATAGTCTCAAGTTTATGGCATGCTTGGACCCTGCATGTAGCCATGTCATGTTCAGCAGCCTGCCATGCTCTGTCAACCTTGGGACTTACAATGGACGTGAGTTAATGGCCTGCATGTGGCTTGGTAACATCGGGACTGTGCCATTTTATTTGTTGACCTTGGGCTTGTTAGCCTCAGCAGCCAGTAGCTGCCTGAGTGAAGAGATGCCTCTAGCATCAGTGGGCCGGGAGCAAGAGGCAGAGCTAAAGCCCAAGGTTGAGGGGCTTTCACACAGCCCCTAGAGCCTGGCACTTTGAACTTGGACCTAATGCCTCCAGATTGTAAGAAAAAACTCCTGTTTGTTAAGGCCATCCCATTTGTGCTATATTTTTGTCAGAGTGGCACTAGGTAACCAAAACAAACATAGATGGAGTAAGGCTTTCAGGACCTTCATTTGCTGATGGGGCATGACTCAAAATGAGAAGAAACAGCTGCAGCCATCCATTAATAATTGGAACATGGAATGCATGAAGTATGAATCTAGGAAAACTGCAGGTTGTCAAAAATGAAATGGAATGCATAAAGATCAATATCCTAGGTATTCAAAACCAAACTCACTGCCATCAAGTAGATTCTTAATCATAGAGACTCCCATTGCGTTTCCAAGGCTGTAAATCTTCATGGAAGCAGACTACCCCATCTTTCTTCCATGGAGTGGCTGATGGGTTTGAACCATCAACCTTTTGGTTAGCAGACAAATGCCTTAACCACTATACTACCAGAGCTCCTTTATCCTAAGCATTAGTGAGCTGAAATGATCTGGTATTGGCCATTTTGAATCAGACAGTCATATGGTCTACTATGTCAGGAGTGACAAACTGAAAAGGAATGGCACCATATTCATCATCAAAAAGAATGTTTCAAGATCTATCCTGAAGTATAATGCTATCAGTAATAGGGTAATATTCATATGCCTAAAAAGAAGACAAGTTAATACTACTATTATTCAAATTTATGCACCAACCACTAAAGACAAAGATGAAGAAACTGAAGATTTTTACCAACTTCTGCAGTCTGAAATTGACTAACCATGCAATCAAGATGTACTGATTATTACTAGTGATTGGAATGTGAAAATTGGAAACAAGAATCACTGGTAGTTGGAAAATATGGTCTTGATTATGGAAATGACATTGGAGATCACATGATAGAATTTTGCAAGACCAGCAACTTGCTCATGGCAGCTACCTTTTTTCAACAACAGAAATGGTGTCCATACACGTGGACCTCACCACATGGAATATACAGGAATCAGATCTACTACATCTGTGGAACAAGGTGATGGAGAAACTCAGTATCATCAGTCAAACTTAGGCCAGGAGCTGACTGTGGAACCATCAATTGTTCATATGCAAGTTCAAGTTGAAGCTGAAGAAAATTAAAACAAATCCACGAGAGCCAAAATATGACCTTGATTATATCCCACCTGAATTTAGAGACCATCTGAAGAACAGGTTTGATACATTGAACACCAGTGACCAAAAACCAGATGAGTTGTGGGATGACATCAAGGACATAATACATGATTTGCTCTGTGAACTTTCACCCAAATCACAAAATAAATAAATAAATAAATAAAAGAACATCATAGATGAAAAAAAGCAAATGGTCATTAAAAACACAGGAAAGGAAGAAAAGGCCAAAATGGATTTCAGAAAAGACTCAGAAACTTGCTCATGGATGGAGAGTAGCTAAAGTGAATGGAAGAAATGACAAGATAAAAGAACTGAACACAAGATTTCAAAGGGAAGAATGAAAAGACAAAGTCAATTATTATAATGAAATGTGCAAAGAACTGGAGTTTGAAAACCAAAAGGGAAGAAGACACTCAGCATTTCTCAAATTGAAAGAACTGGAAAAAAAAAAAAAAAATCAAGTATCAAGTTGCAATATTGAAAGATTCTATGGGCAATATATTGAATTACGAAGGAAACATCAAAAGAAGATGGCAAGGAATGCACAGAGTCACTGTATCAGAAAGAATTGGTCCATGTTCAGCTATTTCAGGAGGTAGCATATGATCAAGAACCATTGGTATTTTAGGAAGAAGTCCCAGCTATATGGAAGGAAGGCACTGGTGCAAAACAAGGCTCCAGGAATTGACAGAATAACCACTGAGATATTTCAACAAACAGATGCAGCACTGGAAGTGCTTACTCATTTATGCCAAGAAATTTGGAAGACAGCTACCTGGCCAACTGACTGGTAGAGACTGATATTTGTGCCCATTCCAAAGAAAGGGTGATTTAACACAACGTAGAAATTATTGGACAATATCATTAATGTCATATGCAAGTAAAATTTTACTGAAGCTAATCCAAAAAGAGTTACAGCAGTATATTGACAGGGAACTTCCAGAAATGCAAGCCGGATTCAGAAGAGGGCATGGAACAAGGGATACCATTGCTAATGTCAGATGGATCTTGGCTAAAGCAAAGGATACCAGAAATACGGTTTACTTGTATTTTATGGACTATGCAAAAGCATTTGACTGTGTGGATCATACCAATTATGGATAACATTGAGAAGAATGAGAATTCCAGAACACTTAATTGTACTCATGAGGAACCTGTACATAAACCAAGAGACTGTCATTCAAACAGAACAAGGGGATATGGCATGGTTTAAAATCAGCAAGGGTATGCATCAGGGTTGTATCCTTTCACAATACTTATTCAATCTGTATGCTGAGCAAATTACTCCGAGAAGCTGTACTGTATGAAGAACACATCAGGATTGGAGGAAGACTCATTAACAACATGCAGTATTCAGATAACACAATCTTGCTTACTGAAAGTGAAGATGACTTGAAGCACTTACTGATGAAGATCAAAGACTACAGCCTTCAGTATGGATTATACCTCAACATAAGGAAAATAAAAATCCTCACACCTGGACCAATAAGCAACATTACAATAAATGGAGAAAAGATTGAAGTTGTCAGGGATTTCATTTTACTTGGATCCACAATCAACACCAATGGAAGAAACAGTCAAGAATCACAATTGTATTGCACTGGGCAAATGTGCTGCAAAGGACCTCTTTAAAGTGTTAAGCAAAGATGTCACTTCGAAGACTAAGGTGCACCCAACCCAAGCCACACTATTTTTAATTGCCTCATATGCATGTGAAAACTGGACAGTGAATAAGAAAGACAAGAAGAGTTGATGCCTTTGAATTGTGGTGCTAGCAAAGAATACTGAAAATACCACAGACTGCCAGAAGAACTAACAAATCTGTCCTGACGAAGCACAGCCAGAACGCTCCTTGGAAGTGAAAATGGCCAGACTTAGTCTCACCTACTTTGGTCGTGTTGTCAGGAGGGACATTCCCTGGAGAAGGTATCATGCATGGAAAAAGTAGAGTGTCGGCAAAAAAAGGGGAGTCAACGAGATGGCTTGATACATTGGCTGCAGTGATGGGCTCAAGTATAGCAAGGATTGTGAGGCTGGCGCAGGACCAGGCAGTGTTTCATTCTGTTGTACATGGGTCATTATGAGTCACGGCTGACTTGATGTCACCTAACAACAACTACATACGTTTTAATTAGCAGTTATATTATCATGCGATAGTGGTGGTATGAGGTCTGTGAAACTGTTTGACATTATAGTGTGGTCCATAGCATTGTGCCTAAGGCATGTGACTGCTAACCAGAAGGCTGGCAGTTCAAACCCACCAGCCACTCCTTGGAAAGAAGATCAGGCAATCTACCACCTTAGATACCACCTCGGGAACCCAAGGAGGGATCACTATGAGTCAGATCTGACTTGACAGCAGTGAGTTTGGTTTTTTGATGTCTTTGAAAAAGCTAGAACCCACAGATGCAAACCAAAGGGAAGAAGATGGTATCTTACAATAAAATTTGTTTTCCATTTTTAAAATTGTTTTTCGTCCTGAGTCAGATGTAA